AGAATACAAAGACGGCAATTATCTAGAAGTCTGTGTTTGTAGATTGTCATTACTAAACATTTCTAAAGGTGTGTTTCTTGTTATTTTAAAGATATGGTTAAAGGTCCACTTTAATAATTGAAATACTTTATTTTTTTATTATAAGTATTTATAAAGTGCTGACAATTTACATAGTTGTACATCAGTCTCTGACCTCAAGGAGCTTACAAATCTATGGTCCCTATCTCACATACATGCAGGGCCAATTTAGATGGGAGCCAATTAACCAGAGTACGCAGAAAAGGACCATGCAAGCACAGGGAGAAGATGCATATTCCTTGCAGCTAGTGTCCTAGACAGGGTTTGAACCAGAGACCCCCAGTGCTGCAAGGCAGAAGTGCTCCATTTATTCATCTATTTATACATTCTGCATGCTCATTTCGATTCATTCTAATTGCTCCCCCCCCCCTTTCCCTTGCCTCCTTTCCCCCCTGCCTTTTCCCTCACCTCCTTTTTCCTCACCTCCTTTTTCCCTCACCTCCTTTTACATTACCCCTGAGTAAATCTGACCCATAGGGTGAGAAAGGAATAGTATACCTCAAGCACTATGCAGAATTCAAAAGCAGAAGCACAGCCTGTATAAATAACTAGCAAATGTGACTCTGTACTTTACATATATAATCAGTGGCGTAACAATCGCCATAGCGACCCAGGCGGCCGCTATGGGGCCCGGGCACAGGGGGGCTCAGCCAGGGCATCCCTCTGATGCCGCCTGGGTCGCTATGGCATGTAAGGGTGCTGTGTCACCGACACAGCTCATTCCAAAACAGGCACTTCCCAAAGTACTCCCCCAGGTGATTAGAGGCCTCACCCCAAACTTAGTCAAAAAACTACACAATATACAACCTGGGTTGTGCAGGGGTTTTTTTGAGGGAACCGACACAGCTCAACAGGGGTGTTTCCCCTCACGGCCGCTGCGGAGCTGTGTCAGTGACAGCCAGCAGCTACGGCAGAAGAGGCCAGCGTTCGCAGTGAAGGAGGAGGTGGGGCCCACCTAAGAGCAACCCCGCCTCCTCTTATATCACTGGCCAGCGAGGAGGCGGACAGCGCTGACAGGTAAGAAGTGTGCAGCCCATCTGAGACCGTGCAGAGCCCACTATAGAGAGTCTATGGTGGGCTCTGCAGGGTCACTCTCAGTTGGGCTGTTTGGTATATCAGGTGGGCTCTGCAAGTGGCATAACTAGCAATCATGGGGCCCCATACAAAATTTTGCTATGGGGCCCTGTGATTTCTAGTTACGCCCCCGTATATAATTTCTGATTATAGAGAATTTTTTTTAATTATGCACATTAATAAGATTTACCTTAAAGCATACATCCATGCTTGCTGAGATGAGACAGAGGGACAACTTCCAGCACAATGTATATAGGCTCATATGGACTCACCCCTGCCATGCCCCCAGTTATACAGACCTATAAGAATGTATATGCCAAGAATGATTGGTTAAACCCAGAATTGTTTATTTCACTATTACTTTTCCTGTATATTGGCTTTTCAAAATGGCAAACAAGATAATTATTAGATAAGATGAAGGTTGTAGTGCGGAATATCACTTTTGGTAGTTAAATAGAACCTTTTCACAGCTTTCATGCACAGGGCTTTTATTTTTCATTTAGGTGGAACTGCTGTGGTCCAGTCTAGCGTTCTCTGTTAAAAGTAATTTGCTTGTAAACACCTCCAGCACACTATTGGATAAGGTACTGGGTATTCCTGACTACATTCCTAAACTCTTCTGTGTCTCCCCCAGAGGCACTGAGGAAGCTTGAATGTATTGATATCTTCCTCTACCACTTGCTTCACTAATATGTTGCATTGTGACCTGAAACCCTCATACTTCTTAGCATGCCTTCCACTGAGCCTTCTGTTCACTGCTCTTGGCTGTGCACCCTCCTCTTATGTAATTCTGGTGCCCTGCCATTCTTCTCAGTCCTCTTCTGGAACCCACCATATTTTGATTTGTTTGTGAAGGCCCTTCACATTATGAAGAAAAAACTGAACAGTAATATGCAGACTAGTGCAAATGAGTAAATTAAATGTGAGATTGTAGTCCATCACACGAGTGATTTATCTAAATAGTCAGTGCTTAGTGGAGGCCTCCATAAAATAAACTCAGGAGGGATTTCCAGAGATGAACATCCATACATGGCATGGAGGGGGCTGCTGTTCGATAACAGCTTGGGAGCCTTAGGCCCGGTTCCCACCTGGGCGTTTTTCAGCGCGTTCGTACTCGCGGAAAAATGCTCAAACAGGGAAATCCCAATACGCCTAGGTGTGAACCCAGCCTTAGGGTACATGTAAAACAAGAAAGAAAGAAGAACGGTGCCTTCTCATATAATATCGTTCATTGGTCCAAAATAAAAACAGAATGAAATAGTACTCACAAACGGTGTCTTTATCAAATTTCCAATATAGAACGGGCAAATAGAACCGGTATAGTATAGCAATCAACAACCAAAAAGTGGGCCAGAATCTTTATCTCGCTGTCGAATTTCTAGGGCAAAACCCTCTTCATCAGAACAATCTTGCCACTGTGAAGTCATTTTCGGTTTCGGCCTGACAAATTTTGCTGCGAGAGGTGTGTTACAGGGCCATTCATTTCAATGGCACCCCAAAGGTGCCTCCCACCCACAGTGTGATTGCCCCCACTGGAGCACGGTACCGCAGTGCCGAGCATTCCAGTGCAGTACGATTGCAAAAAATTGTGCATGCAGTTTTATTCTGAAGTAAACTTTTTTTGTAACAGTGTATTTGTGTATTTCATTTAAAAAAAAGGATGGAATAGATTCCATTTTTTTATCCGATTTAATTTAAAAAAATCGCCCAACTAATCCATGTATTTTACATCACTTCCGCATTCGGCTGTCAATCTTCGGCTACAGAAGCCGGAGAGAAGCTGGTGAAGCAGATGTCTGCTTCATCAGCTTCTTTGGGGGTCCCTAGGTGACATTAGTCAAGCAAAAAGAAGGGCAAACCCACTCATCAACTCATAACCAGCTTTCAAGCAAGGTGCACATGGAAGGGCTTTATACAGTACAACAGCAAAAAGTTTCCCAGCACACTCACCAGCCAGCATGCAAAAAATAAAACCTGTCTAACCGCTAAGGTTAAAAACAGAGGTTTTAGATACACGTCTTCTGCAGAATACAGGCACTCCCCGGGTTACAAACAAGATAGGGTCTATAGGTTTCTTCTTAAGTTGAATTTGTATGTAAATTGGAACAGATACATTTTTTAGGTGTAACTCAAGCCAAAACATTTTTTGTTTTGTTTTGGATAGCATAGGGAAGGGTTAAAGTTTGTTCTGCTGTGTGTGCCCCTGTTCAAAATATTTCACTTCACCTTCTGCCCCTGTGACAATTGGATTTTGAACACTTTGTCGTGGAAACAATGATTGGTGATAAAGCTTCAGTGGAGACTCCTACAGGAGTGAATTTCCCTTCCTAGGGGTAGATTTCCTCTCACTTCCTGTTGTCTCAAGGACATGAAGGGAGAGAGAATCTCTCTAATGAGGATACAGACAGCAGTACAAACCTCACAGTGACCCAGAAGAAGAGGTGGGCACCCCTCTTCTGCATGTCTAACAAGAGCCAACTTCCTGTAATGTACGTACAGTACCACAAACCAGACCCAAAAAGGCGGGCACTCCTCGTCGGCACGAGCGCGGTAGCATTTCAACTACCCCTGCTGTACAGTAATAGCCTCAGTTTGTAAGTAGGAGTTGTATGTAAGTCGGATGTATGTAACTCGGGGACTGCCTGTATGTGAAAGCCACACTGCCTCATCAAGGCACCTCTGTGGTGTGCGGTCCTAACTCTAGCCTATGAGAGTCTCCATCTTGGAGCATATGTAGCAAAATATAAAATTGGGTGCAGGTTCACCAGGAGGCAGCCCAACCCCCTTAAAGGCACAGGGACACACAAGGGACCATGCACATCACAACGGCATCTAAGACCCCCAGTGTGTCACTGCACCAAATCAGTCAAGCAAAACGAACAGCAAACGCACTCATCAACTCATAACCACCAAAAGAAAGCACTATCTGTCCCCAAAAAAATTACATAAAATATATTTCAGTACAGCGTCGCATGACAGAATAAATGTCAGTCAAAGTACCACAGCGCTGAATACTGAAATACGGCCTGGACATGACACCCCGGTCAGCAAGTGGTTAAGCTCATCGTATCCACATAATGTACATAATTGAGAAAAAAGTAAATACTCCCTTTAATGCTTAAGTTGTTTTGTTAGCAATAGAATAATCCCTTCCTGATGAACACTATACAGTACAAAGATTTTAGAAAACATATTTATAGAATAAATTCATGTATTGTTTTCCATGTATTTTCCCAAATTGATATGCGAAGGAGTATAAGGAAAGAGCTGCAGGGTCTGCATGCCTTTAGGTGAAGATGAGCCTCTCAGCTGTATCTCAGTAAACAGGAAACCTCTAATGCAGGTGATGGCTGTAATTTGAGATCTAACTCAGTGCAGAGAAAAAAGCTGTGAGCCATCACACAAGCAGGAAAAAACATTTTTGAGTGGGTAATTTTACATATACTGTACACAATACAGAATACCCTCTGGTTGAAAAGATCATTTTAAATAACATTCAAAATGGCTATTTACCAATACATATTTTTTTGGAGGGGGGGTTGTCCTTTATGTGATACTCCAAATATTCTACTCCTTCAGTTAGAATCTGACATGAAAGTGCTGGAGCCAAGACAACCAGATGTTGTAGGTGCCCAGTTTGCACTGCTGAAGCCGATTTGATGTTTGTGGTTTCCTATGTGTCATTGTGGTTTCCATCGCTGCACACTTTTCTCTTTGTGCTGGGATAAACAGGAAAAGCCGTGTAAAATTATGTAATCACTTTGGTTTTAAAATCTGTAAAGTTTGGAATTCATGGGTAATGGAATAGTGGATTTCTAATAAATATGTCTTTCCATTTTAATCCTTAGCTGCTGAGCCGGCAAGCCCCTTCCATACAGACAGAGGAGACTGGTGTACTGAACACCGCAAGTTCCACAGCCGCCTGGATGTAGTACAAGAGGTAATGTCCCTTCTGTAAAAATATAAAATGTAGATGCTATATTTCATTTATAAGTTAATGCTTTGTGAATTTTGTTAAAGCAACTATGAATGTAATTGTTTGCCTGCAATTGTAATGATGACAGAACTAATGTAGGTTAATAAAAAAAAAGATATAAACACTGTATGTGTACAGTTTGTGTGTATGTAAAATATATATTACACTGTAGTAATTACCACACTAGATGAGCGAGCCCATCCTAACAATTCGTATGGTTTTTCCAGTCACAAATCCCTTGCCTTCCTACCTGCCCTTTTATCCTTACAATACACTAATTACTTTCTCTTCAAGCCCACCATGATACATTTATTTTATTGCTCTAGATGTGTATGATGACCAGGCCCAGCGCTACCGCAAAGCAAGGCAAGCGGCCGCCTGAGGGCGCTGCAGGATGAGGGCGGAAAAAACATGGCATTTTGACAAGTACTTGTACTGGTCAAAATGCCCCGATGCTTGCGCTATGTTTTTTTTTTCCACTTACCTTTGGTGCGGGAGAGCAGCTGTGAGTCAGCGCTGGTCCGGTGGGAGGAGCTCCAGGTGGGGTCCTAATTTAGCTGCCCAGCGACTGCCAGAGGATCCCGACACGCGCGGCACCTCTGGCAGTCGCCGGCCAGCTAAATTAGGACCCCACCCAGAGCTCCTCCCACCGGACCAGCGCTGACTCGCCGCTGCTCTCCCGCACCGAAGGTAAGTGAAGAAAAAAAACCATGCTGATAGGGAGCAGGCCCAGCGCTACAGGGGGTTGGGGTGGGGGCGCAAAAATGCAACTTTACCTGTGTAGGCAAAAATCCTAGCACTGGCCCTGATGATGACCATCTTTTATCCGCAATGTGTTTTTCTATGCTGGGTCACTTACCTTTTCATGTCCTATTGTAATTATGTTCTATAACTAAAAAAACAAAAATACCTGTAATAAATAAACAAACAAAAAAAAACACATGAATACAATGTTTTGTTGCTCAGCTTTGCATTTTTTTCGCCTTTAAGTGAACCTGCGCCCAGACTATGCAAACCAAAGTATATGTATATTCTGAAAAAGCAGAAAGGGCACTGAAAGAGTCCTCATTCACCTTTGTAGCTATAGGCGTTGCAGAGAAATCCAACTTCAAAGTTCAGAGGCACTGAAATCTTTTCATATTACTTACTGTTGCACCAAAATCTTGGCAGTCAGCCTTCTAATGTAAACACACAAAACGTGTTTCTAAGATGGCTGAAACCTGATTTGACAGTCTTTGTTCATCATTGACAATTTTGAGAATAAATATCTTTACAGTACAAGCAGCTAGAGAGGTCAGGGATGACTTATTTCAAAGCTCTTTATTGCTTGCTAAGAATATGTAAATACTTTAATATCCATAGTCTATTCACGCCTAAGCCTTTTTATGTGTTGTGGTTGCTGTACACTGTAGATGTGACTTGTGCTTTTAACTAATTTTACATGTGTTACCATTGAAACTAATGTTGACGAGAACCTTGAGAATTGTGGTGTATTACTGAGTAAACGCAAGTATGAAGATGAGAAAAGTTTGGACTCGCCACATGTAGAAAAAGGCCCATAGCTGCAACTGTGAAACATAAGAGTGATGGCAGAAATAAACCACGTGATTCATCAAGTTTGTCTCTCTTTTTTGCTTTTGCATTTTTAAAAAACATTTTTAGAGTAGAGACCTAGGTTCATCCAAATCATGTTTAAAGTCACTTACTGTTGACTGTCTCACTACCTCTGCTGGAAGTCTGCTCCAAACATCAGCAACTCTTTTAGTAAAAAATCACTTTGTAAGGTTAGTTTTACTTTCCTCCTGCATGTCCCTGTGGTCTTGGTCTTAGCTTTATATTGACGATGTTTAGAAATTGATACTAATATCTGAGAATCTTGTTTTGAAAACTTGGTTATCTCAAATGCCATTCTGGTGTAGTGATGTTCACAATTGTACTCATAAATGGAACCGGTAAAACCTCCTGTATACTACCCAATGTACAGCTACTGCTTGTACCCCAAGAATAATTTGGTTACCAATTTTTATTCTTTACAATTATTTTGTAACTTAAAGTGAAAGTTCTGATAAATAATGTATTTATCATAATGTTCTTCTCTGCACTTCATGTTGATCATGGTTTCAACTTGTTACTGCCTTCTTCCTAAGCAATAATCGTGCCTCTTTAGTCAAGGGTGCCATTTCCACTTCTCTTAGATACGAGGACTGATGGTTGACAGGTTCACTATATAAAACGTTCTTTATCTGTGAAGGGGGACAAATGTTTTAGCAAAATTGCATTCAGTCCTAACATTGATGTACTAAATTTCAATCTGTCCTAACATTGATGAAAATAGGATTTAAAATTATTTGTAAAATGTGTAACTTATAATGGGAATACTCTGTGGCCTGTCCTGAAAAGTGAAGCATCTTTTGAAGGCAAGAGGGCTGGATTACCTTCTTGCAATCTAGCTGAGTGCCTAGGGTGATCTGTTGGAGTCCATACCAGTGTTTCAGCCAAGGTGGATCTGGTGAGGCCCATACCAGTATTTCAGCCCACGTGAGTCTGGTGGGGTCCATACCAGTGTTTCAGCCCAGGTGGATCTTTTCTGTTGGGAGTCCATACCAGTGGTTCAGCCCACGTGAGTCTGGTGGGGCCCATACCAGTGTTTCAGCCCAGGTGGGTCTGGTGGGGCCCATACCAGTGTTTCAGCCCAGGTGGGTCTGGTGGGGCCCATACCAGTGTTTGTAGCCCTTGTGTGTCTTTGAGACTTCACTGAAACATCAGTTAAACCATAGCATGGGCAGCCCCGCCCTATGTACACCACCTTTATCATGACATAGGAAGAACCTTTAAGTGAAGTGTGGATATCTGCTCATAATATTTGCTCTACACCCCAGTGAGGGCTCAACATGAGGCTCAGTTTAAAATCCTCAAAATTCTGATTTATTTTTTTTTTAAATCTCCTGAATGCATGCAGGGAGGTTTGTCCAGGGAGGCATCTAAGTGACATTCATTTTGAATAGCATGCAATGTAAGATAACTCCTTTCCTAACTATTCCCTTACAGTATACCACAATGGAAAGAAATTACACATATAAGCTAAGGCTCCAATCACATACTAAATTCTGCACAGTGACTTGGCTGTATTAGTGAAATTTCCAATAATATTGTGCACATTCCAGAAGTCTTGCCAGCTACTCAAAATATTTTACCTGGTTCTGCCAAAATAATTTCTGCCACAATCCCAAATATTACAAGTATAAACTGAAGTTTTAAAAGCACTGAAATATAACTGTATTTGTTAATAAATAAAAGCCTATGTTGTGGTTATAATATAACCACATCATCCTAATGCAGATAAAAGTGCTTTGTTTTCCTGTGTAGTTAAAGCCCAACTTCAGGTTCAGTCTTAAAGGCCCCCCTTCATCCCCCACCCCCAGCACTGGTATGCTTTCTGTTGTTGTAAATTTCATACTTATCAAAAAAGGTATCAGCGCTGCTCTCTGCATCAATACACAAAGCACAGGGTGCCATGGTCATACCCTCCCAGGCTGAGTCATGGCTGTTGCATTGTCTCAGTCTTTAGGGTTGAGTGAGATGGGTGTCATTCGTAGACTTGTGAAAGGCAATAGGTAATGTGGTGGACAGATCCAGATCAAAGGTGATTATTGCAGTTATTTTTTCTTACCTCCAGGGGGACTTTAAATCAATATAATTGTATGTAAATATGCATCAAAACTGGACCCTTGCTCCCCTTATTACACAGAGACCTCAGTACACTCCATGACTATTGATTGAAGTTGGGAGGCAGGTCTTGTCGTACTGCCCGGCTTCCTGATTGGCTAGGAAGCCAGCTTCACTTGTTGGTAGGGAGCCTGGCTTCCTAATCAATCAGGAAGCCGGGCGGTACATCATGACTCGCCGCCTGGCTTCCTGATTGGTAAGGAAGCCACACTGCCTTGCAACAAGTGAAGCCAGCTTCCTAGCCAATGTGGAAGCCGGGAAGCGGGTCATGACGTGCCCTCCCGCTTCCTTATTGGCTAGGAAGCCGGCTTCACTTGTCGCTAGGCAGCCTGGCTTCCTTACCAATCAGGAAGCCGTACGGCACCTCATGACTCGCAGCCCGACTTCCTGATTGCTCAGGAAGCCAGGCAGCCTTGGCAAGTGGAGCCGGTGTTCTTTTGCTAGAACACCGGCTTCCCAGGCAATCAGGAAGCCAGGCGACCGGTAATGATCCGCCGCCTGACTTCCTGATAATCAGGGCACAAGGCACCGGTATTGGTACTCTGTATCGGCACTCAATACCGAAAAAACGTTATCGGTGCATCCCTAATATCCTTGATATAGAGATAGATAGATAAGATAGATAGATGGGCCCAATTAGCCATTTTCCCTCCCCGGTGTCATGTGACTCGTTAGTGTTACAAGGTCTCAGGTGTGGATGGGGAGCAGGTGTGTTAAATTTGGTGTTATCGCTCTTACTCTCTCATACTGGTCACTGGAAGTTCAACATGGCACCTCATGGCAAAGAACTCTCTGAGGATCTGAAAAAAAGAATTGTTGCTCTACATAAAGATGGTCTAGGCCAGGACTCAAAATTTACACTCGCCTGCTCACATTTGTCGAGTGGAAATGCAGTGCAGGCGAGTTGAAATTCAGTCAGGCTTGCGGTCACAGACCGCGTACGTGACTTGTGGGAGCAGCTGCTCCCGCTGGACTCTCCGTTCTTTCAGCCGCAGCTCTTCACTGAGCTTCATGTCGAAAACGAAGTGATTAGTAAGGTCTGCAGCAGACCTTACTAATCATACTAGATCACCAGGGATCTGCCTGACATTTTTTGTGGGGGCAGGGAGCTTTATGGTAATAATGTTAAAGTTGTTGTTAATATTTATTTTTGTAACTTTATTTTGCATAAAACATCTAACAGTGTCATTTATAAGTTTATTTAAGAGGGTGTGTTTAAGGGCAAGGTTAAGGCCGCA